GCAGTGGGGCGACGAGGAGGACGACCCCCGCCGGACGCTGTGTGAGGCGTGCAACATCCGCTTCAGCCGCCACGAGACGTACACGGTGCACAAGCGCTACTACTGCGCCTCGCGACACGATCCGCCGCCGCGCCGGCCCGCGCCCCCGGGAACTACCGGCACCCCTGCGCCTGTAGCGCCGCCTGTGCGCACGCGCAGGCGCCGCAAGCTCTACGAGCTGCAGGCGGCCAGCCCCGCCCCCGCAAAAAAAGCCCCTGAGCCGCCTGCTTCGCCGTCGCCACGGCCCGGAAGCGGAAGTGGGCCCGATCCCTCTGATGGGCCTATCGACCTGAGCAAAAAGCCGCGGCGCCAGGCCCCCGCCACGCCTTTAACCGGCCCTACGCCTGTGCTGCCTGCCCTGGCAGACTATCACGAGTGCACTGCCTGTCGCGTGAGCTTCCACAGCCTCGAGGCCTACCTGGCGCACAAGAAGTTCTCGTGCCCCGCGGCACCGCGCCGCCCTCGCGCCCCCGAAGACCCTGCCGTCGTGTGCCCCTACTGCCCCCCGAACGGCCTGGTTTGCGGAGACCTAGTCGAGCACTTGCGTCTGGCGCACGGCCTGCTGCTGGGAAAACCCCTGGCTGGCCCCGGCGCGGAGGCCCGGACTCCCTCGCCCGCCGCTCCTCGCGATGGCCTTAATGGCCAGGAGGTGCCCGCTGGGCCTCCTGACAGCAGCCCCAGGTCTGGCCCGACCCCGGCCCCTCCAACGCCTCCTTCCCACTTGGACAAAGGCGTCCAAACCCCCAGCAAAGGGACGCCGGGACCCCTGCCCAACGGCAACCACAGGTACTGCCGCCTGTGCAACATCAAGTTCAGCAGCTTGTCCACCTTCATCGCCCACAAGAAGTATTACTGTTCCTCGCACGCCGCTGAGCACGTGAAGTGACTAGCGGCCACACTACAGACAGGAGACTGCTTCACACGCCCCGCTATTCTCCAGGAGTCAGGGCCCGCCGGCCTACCGCTCACAGAGACAGGATCACCCCCAACCCCCTGGCTGTTGGGGACTCTGGCTCCTGGGAAACGCACCAAGCACTGGCTTCGGCAGAGGGGGCTGCAGGGGGCAGCACCAGCCTGGACCCTTGGCACTTAATAAAGAAGTACAATTTGATAAGCAGAGTGGTAGAGCAGCCCAGTTCTCTGAGTAGAGGGCCCAGCGGGTGGGGGCGCACACAGCAAGCATCTTGGGTGATCTGTGCACCAAGAGGCCCACCACCACCACCTCCATCATACACAGGCCACTGCAGTCTGAAGTGACTGGGTACCCTGCCAGAGTCACGCACTTAGTGGCTCTAATCTGGGCAGAGCCCCAGACTAGTCTGATGGTGCCCTATACACTTGGAACTGCTGCCCTTCTAGCTATTCTGCACCCACTTGCGGCACAGGGGAAGCAGGCACTGCCCTTCTAGGTCCATTGCTGCCACCCCTCCAAGATCCAACCAGAAGTTATGGTTTGGCTACCAGATACCAAAGAGAAGAGCTTAATCCTAACCAGCTGACAGCCTTCCCACCTGGCTCAGTCTTGGGGCCTGGATGTCACCTATCCAGTCCTAGGCCACCAAAGTTCCAGGAATAGGAGCATCTTGGGGAGGATGAAGCCCTGTGTACCAAAGCTGGTGGGGGAGAAGTGGGTAGCCGAAGAGGGCACCAAAGGCCACAGTGGCCCCTGAGATGGTTACGGGGGCAAATCCTGAACTGGGGGTAGCACAGCACCTGTGGTGGCTGCAGTAGGCGTGAAGAACGGGGGCACTCCACCCCCGGTCTGCTCTGCTGGTGCTGTGGGGGCTGCACATGGGATGGCTGGACCAAATGATACTAGACCAGTCCCAAGTGAGCTGAGTCCAGCCATGGTCTTGCCACTTAGAAGCTGGGCGGTGGTTGGCACTTTCCAGCCTAATGGCCCTAGTAGAAAATGCACCTTTTTCCAACTTTGCTTGAAGTAGCAAACAGTTTCACCCAGCAGCCTACAGTGGATAAAAGTGAACTCTGACCTTTGACCCATCTTGAGAGGTGCTCTCTGCCACCCACCTACACTATCCAGGCTCAAGGCAAGTTTCCCTCCCACCCAGCCCCGCAGGGGTGACATGTTAACTAGCCTATGTTTGGACAAGAACAGTCTCCATGACATCGTCCACAGGTTTTTGTCAGATACACATTCCCCTCTCACTTGCTCTGAGCTGGACGTGAGCACCAGGGCTTGACCAGACAGGGTCATTTGGCCAGGGTCACTGGACAGTCAGGGTTCCCTACCCTCCAGGGGCCTGGGCTCCAAGGAAGGGTTGGTGGAGGGTCTCAGGAAAGCCAAGCTGCCTTTCTTGTAGATGCCTGTCCTTGCAAAGACCACAGACCCTCAGCCCTGATCCTCATTTGCATTCTGCATGAACTATCAGAGGGAGTTCAGGACGCTCCGCCTCCCAGCCAGATCACCAAATGAAAGGCAGACGTTACTCTGATGTTCGAACACTGTTCTTAAAAAATTAAAGATGCTGGGGAATATCAGGGATATGGCTTCTGATGAGCAACAGATGCTCAAAGAGGGAAAAACCGCAACTTGGATACGAGAAATGGAGGAGACCAGCGTCCAGCTCTTCACCCCGCCTAGTGAGCTACATCCCCATCCCTACACAAAGTGACAAATGAATAGGACAGATATGAATGGAAGACAGTGCCACACAGAAAAAAAGCCTCAGTTTCCATACCTGTAAATGTGGGGTGGGGTGGGGTGTGCTCAGTGATCCCACAGCCCCTTCTGAGAGCTCAGCTCAGAAGGCAGAGCCGACCCTGACCCCCACCGCAGGCCTGAACTACTGGCCAGGCTGAGCCCTGTCACCAGAGTGGTCCTGGGCCTTGTAGCCCATTGCCTCCACCCAGGCCTCGGGAAGGCCCATGGTGGCTCGACTTGGAGGCTCTAAGGCAACACCTTGCTCCCCATTAAGGGCCCTGCAACTGGGTCCTGGGTCCCGTCGTCCTCCTTTGCACCCCCAGTGTAGGGCTGGGCACCCTACTGCCCATGGGCCAGAGCCTACCCCCACCCCCTACCTCCTCAAACTCCAGTGTTTCCCACACCCCGCAGACTACCAATAGTAGACCCTGCATCTTTCTCAAGCACCCTCACCCCACAACTCACCCCAGCTCACACCAGAACTTGCCACCCTTCCTGCTGCCACTATCCCAGCTATAGCCCAGGACGGTGCCCTGGCCTCCTTCCCACTTCCCTTCAGGAAACTTGATGCTCCCTGCTCTCATCCACCCCCAACCTCCTAGCCTGCTGCATCTCTAAATGATGAGAGTTCAAGGCTCTCAGAGCCCCTCGTGCCCTTCCCTCGAAGCTCTCACTACATACTCTCTGGATGGGCACACGGATTCCTGTGCCCCTAAATCTCTAGCCAAGCCATGCCTCTTCTGAGCCCTAGACCTATCTGCCCACTGACCAGATATTGTCCTATGTCTCTCAAGGTGCCTGAATGTCCAAGACCGGGCACCCCCCTCATCCCTTCATTTTCTTCCCACCCTTATGCAGACATCACCATCCACCCTAACAGAACACCACCTTCACCTGCTCACACCTCACTGTCAAAGCAATTCTCATTTTCACCAAAGCAGCTCTCGATTTCTCCTATCCACCACCTGGCTACCAGGTCTGCAGCTTCGCCGGGGTTCTCTCTCCAAACCTACCAGCAAGTCCACTTGGCCCTACCTCTCCAGGGATAGCTGCCACTTCATCTATGCCCTTGGCCACACCCCATCCAGTGGACTGGCCACCACCTGTGCTTCTGCCAGCCGAGATCAGGGAGTGGTTGAGAGAGCAGGTGGCAGCATGCCCTTCTTAGGCCTTCAGGTGTTCCCACCGCACAGAAGTGGACTCTAAGTCTGGTCACCCCGCCACATTCTGTGGTTCTGTTCATGCTGCTCAGTTTAGTACCTCATCACGGTCTGCCTCCCCGGAAGGGTTGCCCTTCTTGTCATGCAACTGTAAGCCTAGGGACATCCCTGATCCTCCATACCATCACCCTGTTCATTTCGCCCAAAACGGTGGTCACTCAGAATCTCCTGGTTTTATCTCTCCAGCCCCTCCCCAAAGTCCTCACTGGCCTTGGCCACTGTATCCTGGGCACCTGGCCCATGGCCTGACACTGGGGAGGGGCACACAGTCATTGAGGGAGTTAAAGGGCCAATAGACAAAAAAGCAAATCCCCCTCCCCCACACCCTGATGGTCTACAGCCCATCCCCAAAGCCAGCCTCTCCTGTCCATCCCAGGGATCCTTCTTCACATACACAGCCCACAGCTCCTCACATACACAGCCCACATTCAAGGCCACCACTTGACCCCTTCTCCTCCTAACTAAGCCATCCACTCAGAGTCCTGTGAGCAGCCCACATCCAGATCATTGCCATCGGCAGCCCTGGGCACCCCACACACTGCTGGGTACAGCCTGGCTCCAGTAATGATTGCAGGTGGACATTCCTGGCACCAGGGGTCAGCAGTGATACATTTATCTGTGCCAGTAGGCCAGGTGACAGGAGCCTGCTGCCATATCACACTTCAGGGCTGGCCAAGCCTGTCCACCCTCTGTCTTATGAGGAGGCAGAAGGTAAGGGGTGGGAGAAAGCAGGGAGGAGTGGCCAGTCCAAGCCTCAGGAGGACACAGAGCAGGATGGCACACAACACACAGGTCTCGCAGAGTTTAGAAACTATTCTGTCTCCACAGAAAGGGAAGGAGTAGCAAAGATGACCAGCCAGCTCAGGAAGGGCCTAGACTGGGGTCGGCTGTGGGTGAAGGGAGCATCAAGAAGGCAAGGGGAGGTCCCCAGGCAGAGTACCTGCGGGCTCTAGGAGGTAATCAAACTCCTTCCACAGCACCCGGTTTATAGCCTGTCTTTCCTTCACTGTTCTTATGGAAGGGGCAGCATGCTAAGAGGGGACTCGACTTGCTCCCCTCCCTCCACCCAGGGCTGCTGGGGGCACTAAAACAAGGTGCACACATGGCCCCAGCCTGGGTAGAGGTCAGGTGATGGAAGCCAACGGGTAGAGACCACTCGGCACTGAGCACCCTTTTCCTCAAGGTGACAGGAAAAGGGGGCATGCTTGTTCTGAACAGACAGATTCTGGGTGGGCTCAGAGCAGGAAGATGTCATGGCCAGATAGATGACCTTGGCAGAGCCTCCATGGCGCAGAGGTCCACGTCCCAACTCTACCTGTGACAATGAGAGTTGATCCAACTGCTTGGCCTCCCTGAGCCTCCCTTGCCTCATCAGTAAAATGGGAGGGTCCCCCTGGCCCCACTGACATTGCTACCAGGATCATGCCCTCTAATATCAGTGATAGACATATCATTATCATCAAAGGCCATTCTCCCAGGAGAGTATCCCATTCACCCTACAGGAGTCAGAAAGGGCTTCCAGGTCATCAGCCCCAGTCCTGGCAGGTTGGGACCAGTGTCACATCGCAGGGCCACTACCCACCTTCCTGCCCCTTGCCTCCCCAGTTTGGGGTCCCCCACTCTCCAACACCATACATTCCTTAGAGATGGTGTCTCTCTCTACCTTATTCCCCTCTGCACCCGGAGGGCTATCACACACTGAAGTCCATTCTGCCATGAAAGAGGCGAACGCACTGAGTAGGGCCAGTTCTGACAGACTAGGAAGGGTCCCAGCCCTGACATGCCTGATCAAGATGCAGATCATCCAGGGACAGGGACGGACACCCAAGGTGGCTCCAAGCCCAGGACCCAGGCAGGGAGATGTCATTTTTGTGGAGCCAGTGGAGATTCCACAGGTGAAGGATAAAGGTTCATGGGCCTCTGAAAGGGGAAACAGCCGGGGAATATTGCCAGCGGTCAGAAGGTAGGCTTGGGGACAGACATCTCTCTCTTCTACCTGACTCGTGCAAAGCCTGATGTCAAACTCCAGACCAGGAAAACGGCGGAGCCCAGAGGCCACAGGGCATCCTTCCCCAAACCTAGACTTCACAGAGAGCTGAGGGCCAGCCTATGACCAATGCAAGCCACCGTGTGGCCTTCCTCACCCACTCGGGATGCCCACGAGAGGGGAGTCAGGATCCAAGCTCAGCCAGGTAACGATTTTCGGAGAGCTGTCTGCTCAACTATTTCCCCAAACA